TGTGTTGTGACACATTCCTCCTGTAAACATCATTAAACGTTTCTGGGACTTGTGCCATAGTAGCCCTTCTGTCAGTCAGACAGAATAGCCTTCCTTGCCATCTTGCATCAATGAGCCTTTGGCACCCAACACCGATGCCAGTTTGTGGTTGGTCCCTCCTCAGACCACTGTCAATAAATTCTCACCACCACTGATGGGGGGGGGCCCTACAAGCCTTGCCGTTTAGTAAATGCTTTAACCCAGTCTTCTTGACATAACAATCTGGCCCTTGCCTAAGTTGCTCAGGTCTTCACACCTGCCCATTTCCCCCCACCTTCAACATATCGACTAGAAGAACTGAGTGTTCACTTGCCATCTGATATATGCCAGACATTGATATGCACTGTTGTTATGAGATAATCAGTGTTAGTCATTTCTTCTGTGAGAGATCATAATGTCTTGGCTCATCTTATATCCAGATATATCTTGTACAAACACGGCTGTTTCAGGTATTTAATACAATCCAGAATTAAAAATCTGATAAACTTTGAACCGGCGGAATTGGGCTGGGCCTCAATGAGAGACAGGATGTGACTGTTCAATATCAATCTTATCTTGAACCAGTCTTTTGTCCTGGACCCTGTGTGTCCTCAAAGTAACATAAGAAGACTCAGCACACCTTGAGTCGACCCCAGCACTGGCTTCAGGGCACTAGGCCACATGAAAGGAGGCTTAAGAATTAGAGACAAAAGGAAAACCTACATAAAATATAGCACAGTAAAATATATCGCTGTTGTCGGACAAAAACCTCGTATATCCAAAGTGGTAACTTTACAGGAGAAGGAAAAAACACACTTTACTTTTAATGTAAGTCAATGGAACCCGACTTTTTTCAAAGTAATTTTGGGCCGTTTCTTTTGGTCCATTCATCATGAAATTTACACACAATGTAAAGGACAACAGGCACTTTCAAACTATGTCAAAATCTTCCAACAGCAGTGATATGAATGTTTTGCAATATATTGCTTAGGCCTGGGAATACTTGCAGTATATTTCCATTTTCACCTGGGACGAAAGGACCTCAGTGGAAGGGAAGGGACAGCAGAGTGCCCCCAATCATTATCACTGTAATGAAAAGTGGAACTACCTCCAAAGCAACCTTAATCAGCCAACTTAGCACTTCAAACACATTAAGCCAGAGTGTGCTCTCTGGATATTTGCTCGGGGATAGAGGGCATGGAAAGAAAGATGGGCTAAATAGCACAGCATGAGGCAGCAGGACAGCCTCTTTCCTGTCTTGTGTTTGGCCTGCAAAGCGAGGAATTGAGAAGCATCTGATAGGGAGGAGGTTTCAGGAGGCACGCTAAATCCCAGCGACCTTGGCAAAACAACACATTCCCTTTGAAATGGAAAAGAGCTGAAAACAAGCCAAACAGAAGAGAACAGCGCTCTCCTCCACATGCACTCTAGCTGCGTATTTGTGGTTGGGAGACTGGTAAAAATGCTATGAAAAAGGGAGCAAGCAAAGGTGCGAAGTGTATAAATTGCTACAAGTAGAAAAACAGAGGACAACTAGAGAGAGAAAGAGAAAGATGGAGAGTGAGTGAGAGAGTGAGAGAGAGAGAGGCTGAGTGGCACATTATGTCAGATGGCTCTTTTAATTAAATACTATGAAGGCCAGAGCGAGTTGGCTGAGAGAACTCTGTAAAATATTCCCCCTCTGTCTCTTTCTCCTTCGCTCTTACTTCAGGCATGCAGTGCAAGTTTCATTACAGTCCATGTCAAAACAGGTCTGTTAGTTTCCATTTCTCCATCTCCTCTCTCTTATTCACCCACTCACTCTCTCCCCAACCACACCTGCTCTAAAATACAGGGTGATTCAGAAAGATTCATCCGATTTCAAAATGATTTACTTCACTTCTAAATCATTACAGAACAATGCAGTAAACTGTAAATGGTTTAAGTGAGCATAAAGTTTATTATGTAATTTTACAAGTGCTCAATATGAACCTCCTCCAGCTGTGGCTCTTTCAGTGCGATTTCGGAGATCATCCAGTGTTGCTGGGAGTGGCACAGAAACAGAATCCTTAACGTACCCCCACAAAAAAAGTCACACGGCGTGAGATCTGGTGATGCTGGTGACCTTTTCTTGGAACTGTTGGTACCAACAACGAATGCTCTGAGCTGTTGGAGGTTCACTGCCTTACTGACTGTCTAAACTCTATGATGCCCTCTTTCAATTGGTATGTGATTGGTTCCTAGGCGCCTCATGATTGTAAAGAATATGGTGCTTTGAAATCGGATGAATCTTTTTTTGAATCACCCTGTATGATGGTGTTATGGGCAGAATTCGCTCCGCCATCTGATCGCAGCCTGACATGGAGTCATAGTGGAGAAGCTATAGAATGGTGGGGCAAACTGGACAGGTTGGTTGTATGGAGGCTACTTGGGGGTTATTCAGTGAGGAAACATGTTCTGTTTTGTGTGTACAATGTAAAAAATCCACTAGGATCAGGGTGCCCAGTCTTCACAAAGGGCAGGTGTGGCTGCAGGTTTTCGTTCCAACCAAGCAGGAGCACCGGCGTCTTCTTAAGAATGACAGAGTGGGCACCCCTGCACTACAAAGTGAACTACAGTGAACCCTGGTCCTGGAGTTCCCCCGGCCCTTTTACAGTTTAGTTGCTTTCCTTGTTGGAACACAGCTAATTATTACCTACAGTCCTTTCTGAGTTGAAGAAGGTGTATTAGAGCAGGAAAACAGGACAGAAGAACTCCAGAGGCCTGTCTCAAAGCTGAGGTTGCAGCTGAGGCAGGCTGCATTTCCAGGGAGGTACCATTTTTCAAAACACACCCTTCTTTTCTGAGAATTCAAAGAACTCAGCTGGCAGATCCTTCCAGACCTTCAATCACTCCCGATCATTTGCGCTAGTTTTGAAAACCTGAAGGTGGAAACAGCTGCGAGTGGGCGAGATGCTGTGGCTCCAGAGTTTGTAATGAAACGCAAGCCGTACACATAATTACTATACAAAAAAAGATAATGCTCATAGCAGTCCTGTTTGAAGATTATGACAAAATACGTTGCGGTGTTGAGTACCCTGGTCAGTAAGCTGCCACAAGCTAGTACAACGTACTAGTCCAGGGGTCGGCAACATGTGGCTCTTTTACTGCCATGTTGTGGCTCCACTGCAGAATTACATTTGTAGATAATAATAAAATAATCCTCCTTTGCAGTAAAATAAAGCTCTGCTGATCGTTCAACACAGTTTAACAATAAATGGTCTGAAACACTGGAGTTAATGTAGAACTGCTAATTCACCCTTTAACCCAGGGAGATCAGCGCAGACTGCTGGTCACCATAGCAATGCAAAAAATAATCTCACCTAGGTAATAGCTAACGAAAAGCAAAGAGAGAGATTTAAGGCGAACATCAATAATTTAGAGACAAATGGACTACACCGATCAGGCATAACATTATGACCACCTCCTTGTTTCTACGCTCATTGTCTATTTTATCAGCTCCACTTACTATATAGGTGCACTTTGTAGTTCTACAGTTACAGACTGTAGTCCATCTGTTTCTCTGCATACTTTGTTAGCCCCCTTTTACCCTGTTCTTCAGTGATCTGGACCCCCATGGACCCTCACAGAGCAGGTACTGTTTGGGTGATGGATCATTCTCAGCACTGCAGTAACACTGACGTGGTGGTGGTGTGTTAGTGTGTGTTGTGCTGGTCTGAGTGGATCAGACTCAGCAGTGCTGCTGGAGTTTTTAAACACCTCAGTGTCACTGCTGGACTGAGAATAGTCCACCAACCAAAAACATCCAGCCAACAGCATCCTGTGGGCAGCGTCCTGTGACCACTGATGAAGGACTAGAGGATGACCAACACAAACTGTGCAGCAGCAGATGAGCTATCGTCTCTGACTTTACATCTACAAGGTGGACTGACAAGGTAGGAGTGTCTAATAGAGTGGACAGTGAGTGGACACAGTGTTTAAAAACTCCAGCAGCACTGCTGTGTCTGATCCACTCGTACCAGCACAACACACTAATCACTCAAGCTGGTTTCCTGATATGTTTAATCTGCAATGAGAAACTGACAAACACTAAAAAGGTCACAAAACTTCTTTTTTGAATTTTTTCTGTTCCACCTTAAATGCTGTAGCAGTTACAGGCACCATTTAAGGTGGAACGGGAAAATTAGAACAAGAAGAATGTGAGAACAGCGGCTACAGCTGAGCCAAAGCTTAAAGCAGAGCAAAGTAAGTCTGCGTTTCTGTTTATATTATATTTGCTAGCCTGTACTAGAACATTAGCACATACTGAGACATGTTTACAGCCAAGATGGTAAAACGGATATAAAATCTTGTGGCTTCCATGGTGGTTTGATTTTGTTGAAAGGACAAAATGGCTTTTTTTTAATATTTGGGTTGCCAACCCCTGTACTAGGCTCTCGAATGTCCATGAGCAAGCACTGTAGAGGAGTGTTCTCATACCAGAGCTAGCAAGATCTCTCAGGACCAGGGTTGGAAACTTCAGACATACTATATAGTGTGAGAATATAATACATCATATTTCTCTTTCTTGCTCTTTGTCACCTCTTCTCACTCCATCGACATGTAACTTGGACTCACTTAATGTGTCAAAGCCCATTTCTGTGGTGTTGGCGTGTTCTCATTTCTCTCTGACACAGTGCTGAGAATAACAGGGTTATGTAGCGCTGGAAAGGCTTCAGCGGACTCTGGCCGGCTGACAGGTCCTTTTACGCGAGTGAAGTGTGAAGGGTCAAGCCATTAGAGTGACTGCACCCTGGGGACTGCTCTGTACCAACCGGCCATGTTTCCATGACTACCTCATTCACCACAAGAAGCAGCCGGATTGATGTGAACCTACTTCAACCCTTTTAGTCGTACACAGTCAGGATTTACTACATTCTGTACAAATACAGTTGGAAGTCAATTCACCAGCAGAGCAACAAAGTGTGGAGGCTAAATGCTACAAAATCACTAATATTGCTCACCTTCCATTGGTGTGTTGCTGTCCGGCCGGTTGGCGAAGACCACGTCCACATATTCCAGCTGCAACCTCTGAAGCGAACCCTTGAGGCCTGGAAAGAAGAGACCGTTTGAATAAATAGGAATGCTAACGTTGCTAATAATCAATCAAACCTAATAGGGTCAGTTAGCATTACACAGCTTAGTTCATTCATTCCTACTAGCTTCATTCAATGTTAGCCATGTTAGCATTTTTGGGTGATGGAATACTTTAAGATGATTCGTTGGCATTTTGCCTTTGCATAGATTCCACAAGTGATCCAGAATATAGGAAATGTGTAATATAAATAGAGGTGGGTAATCCAGGTCCAAAAAGTAAAAACCCTCCCCAGGATTTTGTTCCAAATGCTTGACTTCTCTAGTTTGCTCAGGCCAGCAGCAAAGGTGTTCAGGCAGTTGGAACAAAATCCTGGGGAGGGTTTTTACTTTTTGGATTACCCACCTCTACATATAAATAATCTAAATGTAACATTAGAGTGAAATGTATGGTAAAAATACCAAAACTCTGGGAAATTGCTTCTTTTACAGGTCTCACTGATTAAGAGGAAGGAAAAAAAAAAACATTTAAAAATGCTAGTGTGGCTAACGATAAATGAAAGCAAGTAGGAACCTGTGAGCATGACTACTTTAGTAGACTTACTTTACGATTTCCTTTATTAGGAATGCTAATGTTGCTAATAATGAGTCAAACCTAGTAGGGTCAGTTAGCATTGTGCAGCTTAGTCTACTGATTCCCACTAGCTTTGTTCATTATTAGCCATGTTGGTGTTTTTGAGTGACAGAACACTTCAAAGGCTTTTTGTTGGCATTTTGCCTTTGCTTTGGATTTCATTAATTAGGAATGCTAATGTTGCTAATAGTGAATCAAAGCTAGCAGGGTCAGTTAGCATTGTGCAGCTTAGTCTACTGATTCCCGCTAGCTTCGTTCATTGTTAGCCATGTTAGCATTTTTTTGTGAGAGAACATGGTGGGAAAAGTTGGGAACCTGTTAGCATGACTACATTAGCCTAATTCTCACTGCCCCGAGATTTCCTTAATTAGGAATGCTAACATTGCTAATAGTGAATCAAGTCTAGTATTGTCAGTTAGCATTGTGCAGCAGAGCCTATTCCCACAAGCTTCTTTCACTGTTAGTCGTGTCGGTGGTTTTGGGTGACAGAACACTTTAAAGGCAGTTTGTTAGCATTTTGTCTTTGACTACACTCTTTAAAAACATGGTTCTTCAAGGAGAATGTGTTGTATATGGTTCTATATAGCACAAAAAGGTTCTCCTATTGTTAAAAACGTGACATTGTAACAGTAGCAGAACCCTTTTTGGTGCTATATAGAACCGTTTTCCAAAAGAACCATAAACAACACATTCTCCATCTATCTGAAGAATGATGTAACCATACAAAGAACCATTTAAGCATGCAAAAGGTTCTTTGAGCATTCATAGTTCTATATAGAACCACTGTCTTTACTAAAGAACGCTTTACACCAGTATATATGTTCAGTTTTGTGCTTTGCTGGAGTGAAATGTGTAGGCGTCATAGAAAATGTGAAATTGCTTCTTTATACGTCTCGCTGATTAGGAGGGAGGAAAGAAAAACTTTTTTAAAATGCTAATGTGGCTAACAATAAATGAAACAAGTGGTAACCCATTAGAATGACTGCATCAGCATAATTATAACTTCCCTCAAGATTTCATTAATTCACTGCAACATTAGCAGCTTCCCTGGTGACTGACTTTAAGAGCTTTGCTGAAGGATCCAGCACTGGTTCTCAGAGTGAGAGCAACTCACCATCTTCCAGGCCAACTGTGAACTCACTGTTGTTTCTGCAGCTCTGTAATTTTCTGCAGTGTCCTAATCACTGGCCTGCCTGTGGAGCTATACACCTGAAGAGTGAGATTAGCTGGCACTGTAATAGCCTCCTTGCTCTGAATGACCTTCTGAGGCTCACTCTCTGGTGGGCAACACACCCCAGTGAACCAACAAGACTATGTTGCTTTTTGCTCTCTATAGAGTTCCACTATCTGGACTGATCTAAGTTGAGATCTTTCAGTAGTCCATCACTCAGACCTAATATAATGAGGCTCATCCATTTTTAGTATAATCAGTGGTCTTAACTAAGATCTTATGGGCCCCAGTAAGAAAAACTGAATGGTCCAACCCAAGAAAATGACTGTAAATTTACAAAAAAAATGAAAAAAATGTTTATTTTGTAACTGGCCCACCTTTCATTTATTACCAGTCAAATGACAATTAAGTATGAGCTATTCATTTTTCAGCATCAGGAAAAAAGCAGAAATTGTGTATATAACCTCAGTAACCAAATATCGCTTTTTTCAGTATTCACTGAGTGCATTTGCATGCACTTAATAATCCGATCATAATCAGATTTCTGCAGTTATCTGATTATTTAAATGGTCATGTGAACGCCACACTCCGATCTAGAAATCCGATTAAGAAATCTGATAAAGAGAGCTGGATTTTAGCTCAGTAATCAGATTTCTCAGTGCATGTGAGCTCTTACTCTGATTTCTGTCAGATCTCTCAGTCTGCACTTGTGTGAAAACAGATCGTAAATAAGCGAGCAGCGTCGCCGTGAGATGCAGCAAAACACTTTTGGAGTGACGCTGAAACCAACTACATTCTCAACAAAATAAATCATTTAAATATTCTTAATTTTCTCGATGATGTATGTTCATATTTTCAGGTAAAGTGGCGCAATGTTTAAAAAAAAAAAGCTACGGCATGAACCTTGTGTTTTACATTACGTTTACATCACATCTTTTTCTGTGAGTTTATTGGTTGCAAAGCAGAAATCTGATTACTGTCTGACTCATGTAGACCCAGTTTCCCCATTATCTAATTGTCAGGTGCAATACCCGCCTTCGTCACCTGAGGTCAGCCTCACCGGAGTATTGACTTGCTCCCTAGTGACACCTTGACCTACCTCACCTGCAGCTCATTAACCTCCCTTTATAAGGATCGGCACTCATGCTGGGTCTCTGTGAAGTATTGCCAGTTCATCTGCTTACCAAGCCCTGTTAGTTCTCATCTGTTGGATTTTTTGGATTGTCTTGACCCTTTTCTGAACTCTTTGACTCTGTTTTTTTGAGCTCCCTTTGGTACCTTTGCTGTGTTGTGATCTATTCTGGTGTTTTTACTTTTTGGACTGACTCATTCAGTGATGCTGAGGTCTGGACCATTGCTCTGAGAACACCAGAACACCAGCAGCTTCTTTGCATGTCCTCTACTTTTTTGTCTGTCTCCTTTTCTCAGTGAGGTTCTTCTTCACAGCTACACATCCTTTCAGACCCACAGCGCTGAGTTGTCTTCTCACAGTGGAAGGATGGACAGAAACACCTGTGGATGTTTTCAGATCTGAAGCAGCTCGATTTTCTCAAAGATGAAGGCTTTAGGTACTGTATCTGATGAGGATGGTTTCAATTATGTTTTTTTTTTTATATCTGATCTCCTCATAAGTATCTCCTGCAAGATGAATAGCTTGTGCTTAATGGCCATTTGGACTTAGTGTAATATGCAAACATAGTAGCTTATTTGCATGCATTGAATGAATGAACGCTTGAGTGTGCCAAGGAGTCCAGATACAGTCATAAGCAAAACACCACCAGTCTGATTACATATTTTGTTGATTTTTGAGTGAAAGTCTGTGTAAATTCAGATATTTGTTTCTAAACACTTTATATGTGTAATAAAATAATTGCTGAAATGAAGACTGAACTATAAAGTACTGAATTTGGAGTCAGTCCATTAAACTGTTTCATTTTTTGTGTTCAGGACTTTTTGGACGGGCCTGAAATCATGGCTGGACGACACACTGGATCCATACTTGCGTGACCCTCCTCCAACACTATAACCTTATAAAAACCAGAGCCTGTTAGCATCAGTGGTTCTCCCACTCAATCTCAAATACATTTGCTCTGTTATTTATTAATAGCCTAGCTTTACTTGGCTAGGTTATGCTAGTGAGTAATACACACTGCTAACTTGCCTAAATGGGGGAAATGACCATTCTGTTACAAACTGAGAGGAATGAGGTTGATTCTTGGGTAGGTCAGTGTCCTCTGGCTCTGGATTAGATTCTAGGTCTGATGGCTCAAACGTCAGCCCAAAAAAAGCTGCTAGACGGAGTGAATTCTGGGTGTTTGTGTCAGCTGAAGCGCTGCTAGTGGCTTCATTTCAATCCAAGAGAAGCTTTGCTGCCCAACCAAGTGAGCTAACAGCAATGCTAACGTTAGTACAAAGCTGAAGTCGGCTTCCTATTCGCCATCTTCTAGTTGGAGTTTTCCTGTTCCACCTTTACAAGCCAACAAAGTTTTATTACACACTTCTATAACCTAAGAATAGCTCAATTAATTTGCATCAAAGTCCTTGTAGTTACTGAATAATAAGCCTGTGTGTGAAATAAACCTGGAAATGTTAAGGGTGTAAATGTAAATAGTGCAGCAGTTACATTCGGTTAAGTTGAAGACAGGCTGCATTTGGCTGAGAGGTTAATAACACATTATTCTGTGGTTTCCCTGATAGCAAGAGGACAGTGGGCCACTGTCAGCCCATTGATGGCAAAGCTGGTGGTCCACTGGCGTTTTGCTCAGTTTTCCAGGTGACCCACTGGTGTTTAAGCAGAGTATTAGACAAAACTCCACTTATCGTCGCTTGTTTTCCACTCACAGTCCAATTTACTTGTTTATTTTTCATACCTTTTTTCAGTTATACTTAGTTTGGTAAATGATTTTAATCTAGCTCAGTGTCAGCAACAACACTTTTATCATTTTATATTAGGCCTTTTTTTCCTCTCAGTTGTTTGTAATATTTGTCTATGTTTATTTTCATAAATAAAAGTCCCTGTGCATTTAAAATCTGTTTGAGATTAAAAACTAGTTAGAGCTTGTATGCAGGACAGGGTGGACCAGCAGTGGCAAACAGTCAGCGGAGTGCTGACTTTATCAAGCCAGTGGACCGATATACGCTCACAAACTCAGAATACATATTTATTTCTGTTTTACACACTTTAACACATTCTCTACAGAGAACACACTTAA